TTTTAATTTTTTTTTTTTTTGTTTTTTTGAGACAGGGTCTCCTTATAGCCCCCGCTGCCCTGGAACTCGCTATGTAGACCAGGCTGGCCTTGAACTCACAAAGATCCTCCTGCCTCTGCCTCCCAAGTGCTGGGATTAAAGGCATGTGCCACCACACCCTGTTTAAAATTTTAATTTTTACATATATTTTTTAAATTTGTTTTTATTAAATTCTGTTGTATTTCATACAGAATATCTCAAACAATCTGAATCATCTTTATAACCCTGTCCCCACTTAAAAAATGTATTTATTTTATTTGTATGAATGTATTGCCTGCACCTGTATTGTGCAAATGCCCATGGAGGTCAGAAGAGGGTGTCAGATCTCCTGGAACTGGAGTTATGGACAGTTGCTAGCTGCCACATGGGTGCTGGAATTTGAACCCTGGTCCTCTGCCAGAGCATCCAGTGCTCTTAACCGCTGAGCCATCTCTCCAGCCCCTGCCCCCAATTTTTTTTAACAAGAAAAAAAAAAATGGGGATCTCAGGATGCAGTTTAGTGGTAGAGGACTTGCTAGTGTGCAGAAGGCCCTAAAGTCAACCTCACTACAATAAAGAAAATGAAAACTTGGACCTTTTCTTTCACCTTTTCCAGAGTTCACCCTGTCTCCATCTGTGCTGGAGGCTGGAGGAAGGGGCATTCTTTTAAATGGGATATGTCCATGTGACCCTTCCTCCGTCTGTTATCCATCATGTCATCTGTCAGCTTCAGGGAGACAAGGACACCACCATCAATGCAACTGTTCTCTAGCCCTGCTTGCTCCTGCTGTTCTGGACAGTGCGTGGCTGGAGCCCCTCCTCCAAGTTTGTGGACTCCTGGCCCATAGTAGACAGTGGGGCTCTCTGGAGGGCAACCTTGCCAAGTGAGCAGAGAGCCCCTCTGGAGTCATTGGCCCAGGTTCCTAGGGAGCAAGTGTGGGCCCGTCCTCCCATGACTCTTGTTAGCAGCAACTGCACCCACCTTCTGCAGGATCCATTATTGATAAGGCATTTGAAGCCCATGCCATCCCAGTGGAATCTCCTGACTGCTGTCTGCAGCCTTTACAAGGAGAGGAAGAGTAGAGTGAGATGAGCTCATTCCCAAAGGCATGGCCATAAGGTTGTCCAGGCTTCCAGTTTCAGCGATCAGAGGCCAGAGCACCTGTAGGCAAGAAATGCCCCCACTAGTAGAGGTGGGAGTTTGAGGTCTAATTGCTTTTAGACCTGAACCCTACATGCATCCTAGAAGGCTAGGGGTGAGAAGGCTGAGTGAAAAGCCTGCCCACAGCAACCCAGAGCAGATGCCCCGCACCAATCTGAGACACAGGCTCAGACAGGTGGCTCTGAATGCCAGGGATGCGTCGGACTACGGGGAAGAAACTGAGGAGGACCTGCACTACCTGTATGAAGACAATGTGATGGCCACACTTCCTGTCTCCTCATCAACTTCTTTCAGTGGGAGGCCTGAAATATGGTAAGTGACATGGGGAAGCCACAGCAGATGGCAGAGGTACCACAGAAGCTTCTAGAAGGACCTGTCTCAAGGAAGTATCTGAAGCCAGTCTAGGACCATCCAGACTCACTTCTTGTCCAGAAGAGAAGCTACTCCCTCTAAGCTGTGTATTTCTGTAAGCCCCCAGCTCCAATTTCCCATGCCTTCTTTCATTCTGCTTGGGCCTCCTCTATTACCATGTTCTCTTTATGGTCCACCCTAGGCTTAGAATTCCTTAACCACATGTCAGTGTCTCCTGTGGCCTAGAACTTTGAGAGTTGGACATAGTGGCTTCTTGTTCCCAGCCTGCACCTATGTGAAGTCACATCCCTCCTTGAGAGCTGCGTGGACTTAGGGAGTAGTTAACAGGAAGAATGTGGGGAGCAGGCTGGGAAGGGAACTTCTGAGTAGTTAGTGATAGTGCATGCCAGTAATCCCAGTACTTGGGAGGCAGAGACAGGAGGATTTTTAGTTTGAGGCAAGCCTAGACCACATAATGAGATATTCTCTCTCTCTCTCTCTCTCTGAAACATTATTATGTTTTATGTGCATGAGTACCTCGTCTACATGTAGGTAGGTGCATCCATGTTGCACCATGCCTGAGGAGGTCAGAAGAGGATGTTGGATCCTCTGGAACTGGAGTTAATGGACGGTTTTTAGCCGCCATGTGGGTGCTGGGATTCCACCCAGGGTCCTTTGCAAGAGCAGACAGTTCTCTTAAGTGCTGAGTCATCTCTCCAGCCCCCCAAATATTTATTATTATTTTATGTGTATGAATGTATTGCCTGCATGTAAGTGTACCTGTGTCCTGCAGTGCCTGCAGAGTGAGAAGAGGGTGTCAGAGTCCCTGGAACTGGAGTTACAGCAGTTGTTAGCTATCATGTAGGTGCAAGGAATCAAACCTGGGTCATCTGCAAGAGTAGCCAGTGCTCTAACCACTGAACCATCTCTCCAGTGTGTGTGAAACTTAACCAATGAATTTAACCAATCCTCTACCTCTACATCCAGCTACCTAGATGTTAGGTAACTATAGCTATAGTGTCTCCTGGCTTAAGATACTCTGGGTTCCTCTGAAAAATGGTTTGTCTGGAAATGGTTTCCATCCTCTGGCTATAGTGTGACAGATGGGTCCTTATGGCCTCCAAGCTGAATCACTGCTGCATGACTTGGGGAGGACTGTTTGACATCATGGGGACACGGAGATCAGGTTGTAATGTGGCAAGGCTTGGTTGGGGGTTCTGAGGAGGGCCAGATGAAGTTGTGTCACACAAATAATTTCCTTTTCAGGTTACAACCTTCGGTGACAGGATACTGGGAACACTTGCCTGGTGTGCATGTGTAAGAGCCCCAAGGCTAAGGCCACTGGTTCATGATCCTGCAAGGACCAGACCCAAAGCTGGGGTGGGCCAGAGGCAGGGGAAGCTGCTCAGGTGTGTCTGGCTTTTTAGAACACTGTCTTCTCATCTGTTAGGGGCCAAGCTGGAAAGAGTCTTTAGCAAGCAGAAGAGACAAACAAAACGGGTGGGCAGAAAGCCAGGGAAGGAGTCAGAGAACTGGGAAAAACACAGCTCTGAAGCACCATGACAGGATCGCTCACCTGTGCCTTGGCTGTGGAAACGCCTTGGCCTGCAAACGCAGGCCCCCAGACTGACTCTGTCCTAGAAATGTACTATTTGAAGAGACTATCTTTGTATCCAAGGAAGAGGTGGAATGACATGGAAGCAATGTGCTTTGCTATGACTTGCTTTTCAGGGCTGGACATTGAACCCATGGCCTTCTATGTGCTAGGCAAGCACTCAACCGCTGAGTGATACTCCCTAGCCGACTTACTGTGGTTTGAATGTCTCCTTCAAACGCCATTGAAACTTAATTCTAAATGCAACAGTGTTGGGAGGCAAGACCTAACTGGAGGTGCTTTAGGCTCCTGAATTAAACTGTCGTTTGTCAAAAGACAGTTTGTTATAAAAGCAGACTGAGGCCCCTCTTCTTTATTCAGTGCCTACTCCCTTGTCTGTACGCTACATCAGAATGTGGCATGGAACCCCTGCCGGATGCCAGCCCCCTTCTCTTGGACTTTCAAGCCACCAAAAACATAAGCCAAAGAAACTTTTACTGCTTATGACTTACTAAGCCTGTAGTATCATAGGATTGTAGTCACACAGACATACTAAGACAACATTGTTAGCCAACAGCCTAGATCCCTTGTTTTCCCTAGTATGCTTAGTCTCCATCCTCCCAGGCCAAATATTGAAATTGGAGAGACCATTGTTGTCAGTTAGGACCCACAGAAACCAGCTGGCACCCTGTGGTGGGCAACACAAGTTGAATTTAATAAAGGACAGTTTAAAGAGATGTGGGTGCATACAAAGTAGTGTACTTCTAGCTCTGGAGCTCATGACAAGAGGACACAGCATCTCCTTCTTCCCCCATCACCACCATCCTAGGACCTGAAGGGCCAAGGAAAGGGTGTAGGTCACCATTGCCAGCTACTCCCACACTGTAAAGAACTCTGCTGTACCTAGTAAACCCAGGCCTCCTGTGGTGGTTTGAATGAGAATGTCCCCCATAGGCTTCAAGTATCTGGACATTTTGTCCCCAGTTGGTGGCGCTGTTTTGGAAAGGTTTTAGGAGGTGTGGCCTTACTGGAGGAAGCACAACACTTGGGGTAAGCTTTGAGAGTTCTTCAGCCTTGCCAGATCTCCAGTCTCTTTCTGCTTCCTGTGCCTGCTGGAAGATGTGATCCTTTGGTTTTCTGCTCTGGCCACCTCTGCTGCCATGCCTCCCCCGCCATTATGCCAAATAAACTTCGGAACTGTAAGCCAAATAAACTTTCCTATACGTTCCCTTGGCCTTGGTGTTTTATCACAGCAATAGAAAAGTGACCAATACACCTCCCTACTGTACAACACTGTAGCCTGTGTCCCAACAGGCTATGTCTTAGTAGACCAAGGCAGGGGCCAGAGTCTGGAGAAGAGCCCACCAAGACCCTGTGTAGAAATTCTGAGTGTTCCACTGAAGCATCATGAGTGAAAGCTAACAGCTGGGCACCAACTAGTTGACTGGTGGATGAGGGGGTCATATGAACATCAGTACATCCACACTAAGGAAAACTGCAGTTGCTGAAGTATTTGAAGGTTTGGCATGCACCCATGGTGGGAGCTTGGGACAGACTATTGGGCAGGCAGCTTGTCAGGCAGTGTGCACAGTACAAGGACACTCTGGAGAAATAAGGCAACAAACATGGGGGTTTATACTTGGGGGGCGGGAAGCGGACAACACAGACGGCATTTTGTCAACTGTTGACCTACTTACTTAAGAGTGCAATTGACTTGAGGACTTCTCTATATGTTCTATTTATTTTGCACTAAACATGGAAGTTCTGCAATCCCAGAACTCAGGAGGGAGCAGCAAGGGGATGCTGGAAGCTTGAGGCCAGCCTGGGCTACATAGTGAGATCCTGTTTTGAAGACAGAAAAAGTAAGAGCTAAAATATGGCTAAAGAATGTTGGTATTGAACAGAAAAATATGCCAGTGTTCTTTGATGTCTGGCCACTGCTGAGCTGATAAACACTCATGAGAATGTGTGGTATGCTAGGCACTTAGAGAAGGTCACTGACCAACATGGTGCCTGCAAATGCTTACCATCTATAAGATGATGCTGAGTATGATGGTGAATGCCTGTAATCCCAGCACCTGGGAGGTGGAAAAGTGAATTCAGGGTCATGTTCAGCTACATATAGAGTATGAGGCCAGCTGGGCTACATGAACTTTTTTTTTTTTTTTTTAAATGCAGCAGCTAGGGATGCCAGATGTACCCACCTGCTTATGACAGGAGGAAGGCAGGGACACATGGGTAAAGGAGTATGGGGCAGTTATTAACAGTGAGGTGGGGTCAGGGGAGACCCTGTGGACTTGGGTAGGGGCAGTGCTCCTGCTCATGACATGTAGAGAGGGTTAGGCATGCTAGTCTCTGGAGGTCCCACAGCCTCCAAAGATATGTGGATACCATTACAAGAGTCCTGAGAGACATGCAGGCCAGTGGGAGAGACATGTGGAAGGTCAGTGGGCATGGGCATAGGTGACAGCAAAGGGCAGCATCAGGGTCAGGGGACTTGGAATTGCCTGAGGGGCATGGCAATCTTCAGCTCTCAGCAGAGTCAGGATAGTTCATCTTCAGATGGGCCTGAGTTACTCCTCTTCACCCACTGGCCTGCAGGGCAGGACCATGGGGGTCTCAGAGATGGAGGCAGGACTCTGCCAGAAGGGGCCAAAGATATTTTCTTGTCCATTGTCCTTATCAGCAGAGCTCAGGAGTCCTCAGTCTGTGGCAGAGGGACAGCGGATAGCTAGGTTTGAAGCTCCAAGGCCTAGAACTCTACATCCTGGTGATGAGCAAACTAAGGTTTTTCCATTACATGCCAACTCTGACAAGTCTTGGCTGCCTGGAACATGGAGATGAGGATTCTGAGGCTTTAGTTAGGATTGGCAGGATAGAGCTCCAGGGGTAACTGCTGAAATGGGCCATGGCGAGGGATGTGGGCCAGCTCTCAAGTGTCCTGAGTTTGCAGCCCTTGAAGCCTCTTGAGGCCACAGTGACTGTCTGATGACCATGTAAGTGGGACTCAAAAAAGTAACTCCCGCCAGCCAAGCAGTATGATAGAGCCCTAGTAGCCAGTGGCTCTGACCTGCCAAAGAGAAATGGCTGAGCCCTAGAGACACGGGCTTTCCCCAGCTTGAGGGTGTACACACTGCAGAGCTCCATGTCACCCCATGTATATACAGGGAGTAGATGCCTCTGATTCTGGCTTCAGCTTAGCAGCAGCCCAGGCCAGGGGGCCTCTTGTTCTCCTGGGTCTTGGGTGAATGTCCCTCTATTTCTGCAAGGACAGGAAAAGAAAGGTGGTATCAGCGAGGCAGTCTACAGCTGATACTGGGCAGGGGCCACCATACCCTGAGAACTGGGGCCCTGAACTTGGTCCCATGAGCTTGTCCTTTGGGGCCTGGACAACCTGGTGCAGCTGAGAGACCCAGGGGACCTTTTGGGCTGTGGCATACAGTGGGCGAATTGGGAGTAAAGATACATCTACAGAACAAGATGCCTAAACCTAGCCCAGGAAGAGGCTGTCTAGAGGGCAGGGAGGCCAGGGAGGGTATCTGAGCTGGCAGGTGGGGTCATACAAGCTGTAGGCCTGAGGTCTAGTAACAGCCTAGAGAAAGTCCCAAGAGGACAGCAAAAGGTGAAAAATTAAATACAGTGGTTATGGACTCCTGGCCTCCAGCATGCTCCTCAGTCCTACTCAGCCCTGGCTGTACTCACGGATTAGGTCTCCATTGCCATCGCTGACCTGGGGCCGGGAGCTGGGCCTCTTCTCCAGGTCCTGAAGTACAGACTGCTCAAATGCCAGGGCAGCAACACGGCTGAAGAATGCCTTCACATTCTCTCCTAGGGGCCACAAGACAGTCATGACCCAGGTGTAATCTGTGGCAAGAGCTAGGGCAGCCCATCCTCAGGCTAGCTGTGGCCCCTTTAGAGCTCTCCTGATAGTCAGTGACCATGTGAGAACATAAGCTGCCACCCGTGGGAGGGCAACACAGTGCTGTGTACCAGCCTGGCTTCCTACCAGGCTCTGGCTCCCCATCCCTACCCTGCTGCCCCAGGCCACTACTCCCTTAAACCTCTGAGCCTTCCTTTCCTAGGACCTATTCTCTCAATCAGTTGCTTCTGAACTTGCAAATGCCAGGACAAGCAGGTCTTGAATGTGTGCTGTCTCTATTTGTGTGCTGCTGGCCCTTAAGTGGAATCTGTGTGCATCTTCCTACAGGTTCTAGCACCCAAAGTGAACACTACAACTGTACCTAACAACTGTACAACTGCACAGTCCAGTCCTATTTGGCCCATAGTGACAGCTCAGTGAACCTGCTGTTGCTCTGATAAAGGAGGGAGGGAGCTATGGGATAGATGGATATGTTGGGAAAGACCAGCAGATGGCTCCAGGCATGGGCACTGCCAGGTACTGATTTATGGTGATCTAGAGGTGGCACTTCGTCTCACCTCTTACCCAGTTATGGCCAGATAGACACTGTTTCTGTTTACCTGACACTAGGACTACTGGCCTGATTCCCGAGTTCTCGCAGCCTTTGGGTCTCCCATGTGCCAGGCAGTGTATGGCCTTTCATTTCATCTCCCCAAGAGCCTAAGTTTTCAAAGTTTCCTCTTTGTACTAATCTTTCAGCAACAGATATATAGGGACTGCATTACTCACCCGTCTTGGCTGACACGGACCAGTACTCGGCCTGCATCTCATTGGCCAGGTGCACAGCCTCTGCTTCAGCTTGCTCACATGCTGCCCCTGACTGGGAGAAGCAGCCTAGCTGACCCAGTTTCCTGGCCCTCCTTGCAGGGAGCCCCTAGGATGGGCAGCTGCCTGCTTCCCACAATGCCACCTCCCTCCCCACCCTGGCTTTCTACTTCACCCCAAGCAGGTAGTGATGGTGGGGTGTCCCAGTGCAGAGATGTTGCTTGCCCTAGGCTGACACTTTAGTGGTCCTCAGGCAAATCTGAGTACCAGTCATCCACCATCATAGGGGACAGCAATGGAGTTTCAGTCCCCTCTTCAACTCCACAGCCTGTAGTCTCTGAAGTCTGATGCAAGGCATTTAGTACCACTCACTGCCCCTCAAACGTGGGCTCCAAGTGCAGGCATTTTCTGGAAAGCGACTCTGGGCTGAACCTCCAGCTTCATTCTGCTCACCATAAGATCCTTCTTGGTTCCCACGAGAAAGATGAAGCAGGTGCCTGCCTCATTCTCCCTCAGTGCATCCTCTAGCCACTGCCTGGAATGTAGAGTGAAGACAAGACTTGTACCCTGAACTGGGAGATGTAAGGAGGTAAAGGGAAGGCATCCTGGCCAACCCTGACTGAGATGCTGGGACTGGGTCCAGAATGGCCTCAGTGGGACCAGAGGAGCCTGGGGATACAAAAGCACTGTTTTGGGAGAGGTGAAGACTCTATCTTCCTACTAGTTGAGTCTTGCTCTTTACCTGAAAAAATCATCCCCATCTCCCTTATAGGGTCCGGAAGACGCTGATGTGAATGCCCCAGACAAATGTGGGAGAAAGAGGGGCTTTGGTTCACTGGCTGTATGACTCCTTGTAAAAGCAAGACGACCTCCTGAAATTGGTCCTGTTGCCTTTCTGCCTAATACAGTAAGTGACAAATTCATGTTCTGTCAGAGAGGACTAGCTATAAAACTATCAGGGGTCAAGGTAAAATGAATTTGGAGGCCCCTCATTCAAAATTAAGACTTCTAACATGGTGTCAGGAGGACGTTATAGCCAAGTGTGGCCCTTCAGCTAATGCCCCTGAGCAGCAGATGGGGACAATTCTTGAGGGATAAGAGAGGAACTGGGGGCCTGGAGAGATGGCTCAGAAGCTAAGAGTACTGGTTGCTCTTCCAGAGGGCCTGGGTTCAGTTCCCAACACCCACATGGCAGCTAGCAACTGTCCATAACTCTAGTTTTCATGGGCATTGCATGACATGGGTGCACCTACATGCATGCAGGCAAAACACATAAAGTAAAAATAAATTTTAAAAAAGGGGGAACCGGACAGTAAGTGGAGTGTGGAAGTTGGTTCTGATAAGTGAGCTCTGTCACTGCTCCTACCATTGAGGGCCAAGTTCAAAGGCTGAAGTTTGGGAGCCCTTCCCAGCAGCTTCCTATGTCTAGGTGTCATATAGGAGTGGCAGAATTTGGGATTACTTGCCTGGTATGTTCCAGAGTCTGCACGTCAGTGAGGTCAAAGGCTGTGATGATCACTGGATACATAGGGAAAGCCAACAGTCAATCAGCAACAGGCAGGATCAATAGTGTGACAGGGTAGGGGGGTGGCTAAGTACCTTTCCAGATCATAAGAACTAAGTGCTTAGCCTTGAGCCCCAAAGTAGGGAGTAGGGAGGAGACTCTGTGATTGCCCCTGGAACCTGCCCTCCCCACCATCCTCCCAAACCTGTACCTACCATCCCAGACTGTGGCAAGAGGGCCACTGCCATTACTGACATTTATGGCTTAGCAGTGGAGAACCTGTTTCACTATCTGTAAAATGGTGAGAATGATACCTGCAGCTGTCAGGTTGCTATGAAAATAAATAAGGGCCACTGCTTTGAAAAGCTGTTCATCTAGAGTCTGACCCTGATCAGGAAACTACTTGTATGAAAACTGCTTGTATGGAAACTATTTTTGGCAGGTGGGCAGAAAACTAGAAGATGTCTGTGGTCAGCTCCTCTCTTCATTGGTCCTGCTAGTGGATTTCTGGGGTCCATGGAGGGCAGTGGTTCTCGAGAAAAAGACCACAGAAGGATAGTCCAGGCAGAGGCCTTCTCTCTACTGCCCCCTGGGGATAAGAGCAGGATGGACAGGGCCTTCCTGGCTGAAGAGCCAGAACAGAGGACACTGGTGAGCGCTATTTGCAGAAGTGTGCCAAGTACCACACAGCACTGGCTTCAGGGAGGCAGCAACCCCTCAGAAAGAGAGGTCAGGAAAAGCGATGACTACAGGAGGCCACTGTGGACATGGCCAGCTGTATCTTCGCCCACAGCTAAGGTACATATGGCTTATTTCCTGTTTTGCTTCTTGTAAACTGGAATAATGAAACTGCGTGATTCGTACACCACTGCTGAGAAGATGTAACTGTGCCTTACTATGAGCTTGGTTTGGGTTTCCTGTGACAGTTCTCCCATCTTCTACTGGATTCCATTTCCATCTTCCTTGCTGGGGACTTTATGATGTCATCTCTGTTGACTTTGAGCCCTACTCAGCACCCAGGCTGCCCCTGGCCATGTTAGTAGTGGGGGCCTGCTGGATACTACCTGGGACCTGCCAGTCCTGAAGGCCCACCTTTCAGTCCTGTCTGCCTTGCCCCCTCTGGCTAAGACAGGACAAGCATTTCCTAATCTTCACCTAGAATATGATGCTGTCCCTCTTTATCTGGGAATGCTGGACAAGAACGCTCCTCTCTGAGCTGAAAACGGGCTGGCACACTTAGCACCTGATACCACAGGCTCCCTATGGGTGTGATTGCCAATGCGAGCCAGGGCCCATTCTTCTAGGCAGCTTCCCCATCTCCAAGTGCTGGGTTGCTATCTTAGTGGTTTATGGAGGACAGAAAAGTAGTGTCTGTGCAGAGGACTTGGGCTGAGGGCTCTACCATCATTCAGCTGCTCACCCTGGGCACCCCGGTAGTAGGCAGATGCAATACACTTGAACTTCTCCTGTCCGGCTGTGTCCCAGCTGTGAGGCAAAGAGAGAGAAAGGAAAACAGTGGTGGCAAGTTAAGCAGTCAACAGTATTCAGAGCTAATAGACTAATGAGATCATGGGAAGGACACCTTAGGACCTACACCAACATGCCAGCCACACACGGACAAAGGGAAGTACATTATCCCTCCTAGGTTCTTTACTAGGATTCACAGTGCCAACAAGGGAAAGAGTATAGCATTGTAAGCTCCACTGTCTAGATGAATGAAGATCTAGCTCAGTCCCTCTGATGATGACATTTTAAAGGAGCATATGTTCTATGGCATGAATGGTACTGGACATGCGTGAATGGGACATTGCTTCACCTTCAGCACAGTAGCTCCCCACTGGGGAACTGGAATTAACAGGAACATGGTTTGCATCCCTTGAGTGACTGATCAGTTTGCTCTGGCTCTCTGATGCAACTAACTGAGAAGGACATAAAAGTTGAGCCCTAGCTCCATGGAAAAGAATGTAACAGTAGATTAATCATGTCTGTCATGGGTACAAGATGGAAGAAGGGAGGTGACATACTGAGATCTACTTGTATGGGTTTAAAGCAGGTGGGCAATATGCAGGGATGAGCCTGAAACCCAATCCCCAATCCATCACCTTTTAAAGCTGGCAGATCAGGGCTGGAGAGATGGCTTAGTGGTTAAGAACACTGGCTGCTCTTGTAGGGGACCTGAGCTCAGTTCCCAGCATCTGCATGGTGGCTAACAACTGCCTGTAACTTCAGTTCCAGGGGATCTCACACCCTCTTCTGGCCTCCATGGGCACTGAATGACTTGGGTGCACTTACATATAGGCAGGAAAAACATTCATACACATAAAATAAAAATAAAATTAAAAAAAAGTCAACAGATCAAAATTTGATTTTCTTTCAGTAAACTAAGGAAACTAGCCACAAATGTGACATCAATGATCTGAAGTTTTTTCAAATGATTTAGCATAATGTAGACTCTTTGGTTATAGTCCTTCATTAGTTCATTTGTATTTTCTTTCATCTCTGAAAGAGATTCTAGTTGGGAAGTTGGGAGTGGGCCTGGAGAAAGGGTCAGCTAGGTGGTTAGCAATAGCCTCAACATGAAACACTGATAGTCTGTGGAAAGACAGTGCCCATTTTACCCTGGACTCCATTAGATACCACCTATAGCCACAAAGGAGTCCAGTTGCTGGCCACTCTCTACACAGCTCCATCTGGACTGCCCCACCAGACTTTGTTCTCCCCAGCTGTTCAGAACCCTCAGTTCTACAGCCCTGTATCTTCACAGCATCTTTTGCTCTGGACTGATCCTGTCCACCCTTGGAATGCATGTGTTGTCCTCTGGCTCCAGGATTACGCTGGGGCACTGTCTCCATGAGATGGGAGCTGATATAGGATCCACAGGCTCAGCCTAGGCAGGGCGCATAGGAAAGAGGACTAAATCTAGGGAGGAAGGCAGGGAAGGGGAAAAGGACAGAGGCTGGCGAATGCCAGTAGGCAAGAAGAGGGCAGTGGTTGCTAAATAGAACATCAGGGAGGAAGGGAGGAGCCTCACAGTAGAGCACAAGGGTCCCGGTGCCTGAGCAGGCCTGTAGGAGCCTCGGGGAGTGGGAAAGGGGAGGTCCAAATCAATACTTTCATTAAGGTGGGAGATGGTGAGTCCTCGGAAGACCCTGAGTTAACATGACAGAAGGGGAGGGGTAGAAAACAGTGGGTCACTGTGAAGCAAAGGCATGGGGCTGGCAAAGGAGACAGGCAGACAGAGGTGGAAGAACAATAGGGGCAGACAGAGTTACATCTCTACAGGGAAGAGGTAGGAGGAGGAAGATAAAAGTACCAGGCCGAAGAAAGGGATGAGGGCAGGGTGGCCTCCAGCAGAACCCTACTTACTAAGGTTAGCTAGCACACAAGGACCGACTTCAGTCCTATTTTATAGCTGAGGATCGTGGCTCAGAGGTTAGCAAAGATTTGTCAGAGGCCACCCTGTGGCTTATGGGGGTCACAGGAAGTTCAGGTGGGGAAGGGGGATAAGCCTTAGTAAGAAGCCTTCAGGGAGGGGATTGATGGGTGTGCAGGTCAGGCTGTGAAGACCCTCCCCAGAGCTGACAACATTAGGCAACTGTGAGGACTCAGAGCATCCAGGTGCCCAGAAACTATGAAGCCTGGTCTCTTACAATCACCCAGGGCCCTATTTGACTAGACACATGCTTTCAGAGTACCATGAGACACAGAAGAAGAGCTGGCCAAGCCTTTTTCCCAGAGAACTGGCATCAAGATAAGTGACTTACATCTGGAGGCTGAAGGGAATCCCTGCGATCTCAAAGCGCTCGATTTCAAAGTCTACCCCAATAGTGGCCTTGTAATCACGGTCAAAAACATTCTTGCAAAACCTGTGGAAGGTAAGGAAATCATCAGAGAGGTCTCCTGTCACACACAAAAATGGATAGAAACACTCATGACAGTGCAAGTCTAGAGGAAATAAAATGCACCAATAGATAATCAAGTGCTGGTCCACAGAGGCTGTGCATGGACAGGCATGGCGGCCAGCTTTCTAAAACCAGAACAAACTCCTGGGATGATCGGAACTCATGAGAGGTTTGTTTGGGCTCACAGTTTTAGAAGTTTCAGTCCATAGTTGACTAGTCGTTTCGCTTTGGACTAGTGGTGAGGCCACATGTAATGGTGACAGCATACAGCAGAGCAAAACAACTTCCCTCATGGTCAGGAAGCAAAGAAAGGGAAGAAGGAGCTGGGGAACACTATCCCCTTCAATGGAAACCCCCCATGATTTAAAGACCTCCCACTTAGACTCTACCTTTTAAAGGTTCTATTGCCTTACAATAGTGTCACAGGCCCCAGCCTTCAACACATGGACCTTTGAGAAACACATACAGCAACAGGGCATTTTGGGGAGCCAGGCATGGTGGTGTACACTTGTAGTCCTAATGCTGGATAGACTGAGGCAGGGGGAATATAAGTTTGAAGTCAGTCTAGGTAGCAAAGCCCTATCTTAAAAAAAAAAAAAAAAGAATTATGTAGGGGAAGAGAAAATACAGCAGCCCAGAAGGCAAATACTATAAGTATAAACAGTGAGAGAAACTGAGAGCCCATTCCCAGGGAGGGCAGTGCAGAGGCCAGCCTGCAGCCTGAGGTTCCATGGGGACAGTGTGACAGATGCCAAGTATCTAGGATGCTCCACAGTCTGCGAATCACCCTGACTCTCTCTCCCTCCCGCCTCTCTCTGGCCTCTGGCTCTCATGTGTGTGCTCCACTATCTGCCAATCACCCTGACTCTGTGTGTGTGTGTGTGTGTGTGTGTGTGTGTGTGTGTGCCTGTGAGTGTATGCGTACCTGTGAGTGTAGAGATTGACATAGGGTGTCTTCCTTACCTGCTCTCTAACTTGCTTTTTGAGACAAGGTCTCTCACTGAACTTGGAGTTCACAGATTTGGCCAGACTAGCCAGCAAGCCCCAGGGATCTTCCTCTCTCTGTTTCCCCAGTGTTGGAAATACAGCATGTGCTGCTATACCCAGCTTTCACATGGTGCTAGGGATTCAACTAAGCTCCTCACGCTTATGTAGCAAGCACTTTCCTGGTTGAGTCAACCTCCCTAGCTCCAGATTTCCCTGTCTCTAGCCACACCCTTCAAATTGTTTCCCAGGCTGAAGCTGTGGTTTTTGCCCTCCAGCAGTCAGGCTATCTGGGCCTCCTAGGTAAAGGTGTGACAACTTGGTGCTGGGAGGTGAGGCCAGCTTGGCCGCAGGAGGAGGGTGACAGGACTTACCTGTGGATGAGGCTAGTCTTTCCCACATAGAGATCGCCAACAACTACGACCTTGGAGAGTTTGAGCCTGGAGGAAATATGTCTGTATCATCCTAGAGAATGGTCTCCAAAGTGTCTTCAGCACACCCAGGTCCTTCCTCCCCTGAGCTCTCTGAGCCACCCTTCAATCCCATATGCAGGAAGGCTCACCCTGCTGAGCCGCTCCTCCTTCTCCAGTCCTGGGACTAGGGGAGAACTTAGATTTATCTGCGGACTCTGCCACCCCTGGGGCTGTGCCCTAGACTCCTAGACTCGATTTGGCCAAAGTCATTGTCCTGAGAATTAGCAATGGGCATGAAGAGAGGCTCTGCCCTCGGCTGAGAGGCAGAGAGAGCTCAGTAGAAACTGAACATCAGATGCATCCAAACCGGTGGGCAGGCGCTGCACTGAGGATGCAGACAGGGGAACCATGTATAGGAGACACTGTTGCAAGGTGCAGAGTGGCAGCCTGCACCCCTACTTCTACACATTCTCTGGGCTGTGCACCTGTATGGGCTCAGCTCATTCCAAGAAGACACTCCCTGACCACTAGCACCTGCTTACTTGGAGGTGTCTGCAGGAATGAGGTAGGCAAGGGGTATACCAGGGACAGAACCCAGAGTCTGAACATCTGGGTTTGTGGCTTGATAGGCAAATTGACTCCATTGTTCTTAGGCTCCTTGAGTTGCTTCCACCTTCTTTCTGCTTATGTGCGCTGTACCTCAGGCAGCAGCAGCTCTGGGACTGTTGACAATACTTTTAAGAGTTTCTGGGCTGGTGAGATGGCTCAGTGGGTGTTTGTTACCAAGCCTGATGACCCGAGTTCAATCCCAGGATTCACATGGTGAAAGGAGAGAATTGATTCTTGTAAGCTGTCCTCTGACACATGTGGACCATGGTATGCAGTACCACTACCTCAATAAATAACTCTAATAATAAAAAAGAATTTGTGCAATTCATCTCAAAGGACCTCAATGTGCAAACCGATTATCTTGAGTCATTGGCAGGCACTTCTTGTGTTTGCAAGAGACACCAGTGTGTCAACTGGTGACCAGGGGTTTACAGTGTATCTCACAACATTTGTCCAGGTAGGGGCTATGTCTGCCCTGCTCCCTGGCAGCCCTCTCACTCTCAAACAGGCTGGCCTTGATTCTGTGTCTCAGGGAAAGGAGTAACAGTACTTACTGCCAATGTCATATAGAGGGTACCCTTGATACCTCAGTTTCCCTATCTCTGGTGTCACTGCAAAGGGTCAGGTAGGTAATTTGCATGAAGCACCTGATATGGAGTAGCACTCCCTCCCTATGTGAACCCATTACTTTCATCCCTCAAGCACAGCCACTTATGGCCATTCTGACCTGAGCCCTCCCTTTGTGCAGACCTTCTCTTGTGATCTCACCACATCTGTGTGACCTCTGTGAATTCAGCCAACTCCTTGAGCTGACTATGACCTCCTCAGCATGAAGGGCAAAAGCAGACCCTTATTCCTGTTTGTTAAAAGAAGACAGGACTGTTACAAAATTCTTGTGTCAGTGGTGACAGGTGCTGCTGAGGCATAGACAGGGCAGACACAGCCAGCCCTGACCCTCAAGGGCTAGCTCTGGGGAGGAACCCAGACAGAAACAACAACAACAACAACAACAACAAAAAAAAAAACCATAGCTACTTCTATAACATAAGATTTTGGGGATAGCACATAGGAAAGGTACTATGTGGAGCCTGTCCAGGTCAAGCCAGGGCAGTGACAGCAGGTTAGAGAAGTCTCCCAGAGGAGCTGACACACAGAAACCTGCAGGGAAGGAGAGGGGATGAAAGGAACATAGATGGTTCAGAGAGAGGGATTGGATTTGTGCTGAGATCTCCCCTAGGCTGAAAAGTTACCTGTATGACATACTGAGAAAAGGGGAAGTTGTTGGTACAGCAAAGCCAGATTTAAAATACGGGTGAAAGGCTGCACCGGGTTAGTCTGTGTGCTCCATTTGCGCATGTTTTCATTCACACATGCCTTTGCATTTCCATTCCTCCTGGCCATCTCTCCCACATCCTCATCCTGTGTGCTCACCCGACAGTCCCCGTGTTTCTGCGCTGGCAGGCTGTGCTGACCTGCCCGTGGAAGTGCTCCTTGAGCTGCAGGCAGGCATCAGGTGTGTACCACTACAAAAAGACAGACAGAAAGGCAGACCTGCAGAGCTGCAGCTTGTAACACAAACTAGGCATCACAATGCTGATACCCCTCCTTCTCTCCTGAGACTTGAGGCAGTCTCATTAGCTTTCCCTGTTCGCTGTCACATCTTGCAGGCTATGAGGTAGGAAGTGCAAGTCAATTTCCCAGAGGGGAAAGTGAGGCACAATGGGAATAACTTGTCCCAGGACACACTATGTAGGCTCAGTCTGACCTGGCTGAATGAGTCCTCAAGGTGTGACTCTTGAATGTGCAAGATGGACTTGGTCAGCTATAGCCTGTGACCTTGACTGTTGCTGCATGTGGGGGATCTTACCTTCTATGAACACAGGGCAGAATCCCTAGACAGACTCCCTGGGGGCTCGAAGCTCTGGAGCCAAAGGTGGCTGGGTCAAATCCTAGTTCCACCATGCCCAACCATGTTGATGTCAGGCAACTTTCCCTATCTCTCTGAACCTCACTGTCCTGCTCTATAAACGGGGTCTTTCGTCCCATGAGACCTAGACTGTTTAGCTCCAATCCCACATCCTTTCCTTTTGGCTCCTGAAACATCAGTCTCTATCACCTCTGGTTACCATGGTCACGCTCCATAGGGAAAATAATGGCCTAAACTCACAATGAAAAATTGAGGGAATGGTCCAAGATCTGAGGTACAAAGGCTTTCTCTTTCAGTGTGTGAAGAAGGAACTTGGGAAAAGATGAAGAATAGAGAATAAGGAATGGCCATGACCCCAAATACCTATAGCCACCTTGTTCTTCCTTACCGACCTTGGCAGAGATCCAAGACACAAAAGTCCATTGGGTGGACAGGTCTCCCTTCACATCTGTCCAAGTCACACGAAGGCAACCATGGACAACAGGGTCTTAATGTTACCTTCCAGAAGTATTTTTTACTTTTTTTTTTTTTGATCTTTTTGAGACCCTGTAGCCCCAGCTGTCCTGGAACTCACTATGTAGACCAGGCTGGCCTTGAACTCACAGAGATTCGCCTGCCTCTGCCTCCCAAGTGCTGGGGTTAAAGGCGTGTACCACCAAGCCCAGCCTTTAATAATATTTTAAAATTTATTTGTATTTTGTATGTGTGAGTGCACCCATGTCATGCAATGCCTATGGGGGTCAAAAGAGGGTGTCAGATCCCCTGGAACTGGAATTATGAATGTCAGCTACTATGTGGGTGCTACAAACCAAAACTCTGTCCTCTGCCAGAGCAGTCAATGCTCTTAACCACTGAGCATCTCTTCAGTACCCCTAATCTCTTTTCTTGCACACATGGACATGTGATACGTACACTTGGCCATGCACAGCTTTATTCTTTGCATTTACCTAACAATTTACTTGGCTCTCCTTGGCACAGGAAGAGGTGCCTCAGTCCTCCTGTGATGAGAAGCAGCATCACCTCTTTCACCAGCCTCCTCTCAGTCATATTGATGCCGAGTCTGACCTGCTCTTATTGCTACAATTCCTGGCCTTTTACATGCTCTACTCACACAGAATATATGCAGAGTGAATTCCTAGAAATGGGATGGCTCCATCAGGAGGCAAGGACACCTGCAATATTGGTAATACTGTCCCCCTGTCCCATATAAAGGTTGCTTAGCCTTCCCCTCCACAGTTAACATTAGATTGTAATATAGGTAGGAGTTTTCATCTTAAACTGAAGCCAGAATAGCAGTGAAGAAAGCCCAGGATTTGGGGACCAGAAATTAGAATACTGATTTTTGCTCTTTTTAAAAAAATTTATTTTTATTTTATGTGTATACATGTATGGTCTTCATGTAGGTAAGTGTACCCTTGTCGTGCAATGCCTGCAGAGGTCAGAAGAGACTGTCGGATCCCCTGGGACTGGAGTTACAGACAGTTGTTAGCTGCCATGTGGGTGCTGGGATTTGAACCTGGATCTTCTGCAAGAACAACCAGTGTTCTTAACCCCTGAGCCATCTCTCCAGCCCAATTTTTGCTTTTTTAGATAGGATCTTGCTATATAGACCAGGATAACCTCAAACTCACAATCCTCCTGCCTCTGCCTCCCAAGGTATGGGACTACAGGTGTGTACTACTACACCAGTAAGTTTTTCTTCAGTGCTACAGATGAAACTCAGGGTTTTGCACATACCAGGCAAGTGCTTTGTATCTCCATCCTTGGGAGTGCTAACAATAATGACTCAGAAGACTTTCCACCTACCATGAGCTGGGTAAGCACCTAGGGTAAGAGTGTTATCTTCATGCAACATCAGCTCCTAGAGGTTGAGTGACTTGCCTATAGTCACAGCTTAGTGACAGAATCAAGATTCACATTTAGCGCTGTCTAACTGGCTCATAACTTCTATGCCGCACTGCTACTGGGTGTCGCTATTGGCCAACTTTGGGGAACTTAACGCCTAGTCTTTCAGCTTCTCAGAGAAAAGACCAACCTCTGGGATTCCAGTGCTTGATTTCTGTGAGAGAAGAAGGCATGTTGGTAAAAGCTGAATATGGCAGTAGGGTCAGAACAGCAGTTCAGACAAAAAGGGCTGGGAATGGTGGGCTACATGGTGAATTCCAGACTGGCCTGGGAGACACAGTTGAGACCCTTTGTCAAAGAAAGCCAGATCAAATAAGAAAACAAACAACAGAAAAAAAGTGTTTTAATGATTCTCTACCTTAGGGAAGCTGGTGATGATGCGGTCCCGGCTCACTGGGGGCCCCAAGGGTGTCAAAGAGGACCTCATTTTTCCAGTGTCCTGTAGGCTCTATCAGGAGAAAAAAAGAGTATTAAAAATTATAAGAGGCCAGCATTTTAGACTAGCAGACCCCAGTAGAGCAAATCAAACCAGAAGAGAACATGCTAGGTGCCGACCGTGTGATCAAACTAAACTCTGAATGAGTCAGTTCTCCAACAAAACAAGAGATTCACAGCAATCAAAGAGGACCAGCTGAACTGAGCCAGCATGAGTAATCCTATAAAGAAACTTTGAAACAACCAATTTGCCTTTTGTTCTGTTACTACTTTCCTTTCTTTTCTTTTTCTTTTCTTTTTTTTTTTTTGTCTACCCATCCAATCTCCTAGCCAGGTGTAGTGGTAACTAACACAAGCTTGCAATCCTAGAACTTGGAGAGCAAAGGCAGGAGGATGGTCGAGTTCTAGGATGGCTCGGGCAACATAGTGGGACTGTCTCAAAGAAATCCAACCAACCAACCAAAAACATCAGAAGACTCATTTTATTTTATAGGATGGGGTTGCCCAATTCTAGAATCATATATAAAGCCAATTAAGACTAAATTTACTGTTATTTGTCCTTTGGCAAAAATTAGGTAGCCATACAAATCCTCAAAATGTACCCGTGTTTTTACAAAAAAAAATATTTATTTTTTGTGTATTTCATATATCTTAATCAAATTTAGATCCCCTCTCACTCCTCGCCGCCCCCAGCCTCCCCCAACAGAATTCAGGTATTCTGTTATATATGTTAAGTCCTATCTGGGCAAGCATTTCTTTTTTTTAATTTTAAATATTTTATTTATTTTTTTATGTGTATCTGTGTATTGCCTGCATGTAGGTAAGTGTGCCCGTGTCGTGCAATGCCTGCGGAGGACAGAAGAGGCTGTCAGATCCCCTGGGGCTGGAGTTACAGGCAGTTATTAGGTGCCATGTGGGTGCTGGGATTCGAACCTGGGTCTTCTGCAAGAATAGCCAGTGTTCTTAACTGCTGAGCTATCTCTTCAGCCCCCTGGGCAAGCATTTCTATCCAGGTGTCCATTGGTGCAAGTTCATCCACTGGAGTTTAGTCAACCTATCTAGAGACACTCCCTTAAGGAAGGTCTACTCTCCCTCAACCCACAGTAATCATTTGTCAGTAGTTCTTACCTAGGGTTGGGTCCTGCTGCCCTGCTCTATGCTGAGTTTTAGTCTGATGAGTCAGCATGGGTCTTGTGCATGCTATCAGCATTGCTGCAAGTTCCTATGAACAAGTTTCTCATCAGTTTTCATCACTTTAAAATCACATTTAAGACTGAGCATGGTGGCACTTGCCTTTAATCCCATCACGCAGGAGGCAGAGGCAGGCAGATCTCTGTGAGTTCAAGACCAGCCTGATCTACATAGCAAGTTTCAGGCCAGCCAGGGCTGCAGAGTGAGACCCTGTCTCAACAAAACAAAAACAAAAAAGCATGTTGACACATCCCTTTAATCCCAGCACTCAGGAGGCAGAGGTAGGCAGGTCTCTGTGAGTTCGAGGTCAGCCTGGTCTACAAAATGAGTTCCAAGCCAGTTAAGACTATACAATGAGACCCTGTCTCAAACACAAAAAACAGGAAACACCACATCTAAGCCTCCTTCCTTAACAGCAATATTGGGCTGAGGTCATTTCAGTCTGTACACAAAATAGTGTGGGGGTGTCCAGCTTTACCCTACCTTGCCTGGCGTGGGGGGAGAGTCTCTCCAACAAGTGTCTAAGAAGAGGCAGGGGCGCCCTCTGAGTTTACCAACTTGGGGTGAGGAAGGAAAGCAATCACCAGTGAGTCACCACCCAGGTGGTGGAAGTGTGTCTAAGGATGGAGGGCTCTGAGCGGTCTGGGGGCTTTAGGTTTCAGTCCTTTTCCCTGAAAGTCTTCACCCCACCCAGGGTCTGGTCAATCAAAGCTATTCGACAGCTCAGCAGCATATCCTTTCCTCATCCTATGGTGGCCCTGACCCCGGCCAGGTGTCCTCCTCATCCGGCCCTGCTTCCTCCCAAGGCCTGGCCCAGGGTGCGTGCTCAGGACGCGAGGAAGTCCAAGGCTGAAGGCCACAGCCTGGTTACGGGCTGGGAGGGCATGGGCACGCACCCGCGACCATCTCCTCCGGGACGTGTCCGCATCATCCAGCGGACCTAGGGTCGCACCGTGAGCGGGCGAGTGGACTCACCCTGGCTGCAAAGACTCTCGGTCCCGCCGCACGGGCGCCAGCGATCACCACAGCAACGCGAGCCACGCGGGCCTCGTGGGACTGGCTCGCAGGGAGCAATCCGTACGTCGGGGGCGGGGTCTGGACCCTCCTGTCCTTGGCAAGAGGGCGGCAAGCAGCCGGCCCCAGGCGATCACCATAGCAACGAGAGCCTCCCGGGGGCACCGCCTGCTTAAGAGACTTCCGGACCCGGATGGCCCCGCAGGATTTACCATGACAACCCGACAACCCGGGAGAAGATGAATAGGCGGGACGGGGAAGGCCAGTGGGTGGAGCCTGGTCTTTGAAGGTGGAACCTGGGTGTGTGATGGGGGGTGACCGTAAAGAGTTTCTCGGCCGGCTCACTCTGGCCCCCTGGGCTGGTGGGGCTGTGGACAGTCACGGGAAGAAGAGATCCTGCAGTGGTAACGGAGACTGGAGTTGTGCATCCTACCTGCGGCAACGGATGGACATAGTTCAAGCCTAGCGTCTGCCTGATTACATCATTCTAAATAATGCTCCCTGGAAATCATATGCCTGGCTTCTGGAGCTCATGCTGCAAAATTAATTTGTTTGATTAATGGGTGTTTAAAAAAGAAAAAGCTTACTCGAGTTACTGATCCCCTCTGAGCTAGTTTCTGTTGGAAATTGAAGTGTGTGGGGCTAGATGGTTTCCAGGGGCCCTTATGAAACAGTTATCAGATTTGGGGAGTTCCAACATTCCCAACTTTGACTCTACACCTTCTCCTTTTTTCACAAACAAGGTAACTAAAACTCACATTCAGAGGATTTGTTAGTGAGTTAGAACTAGAATTGGAACCCAGATTTGTTGACTTCCAGCCCCCAGGTGTTCACAGCACCACCTTCTCCTCCTTCTCCTTCTTCTTGTTTGAGACAGGGTCTCCCTGTAGCCCCAGCTGAGCTGGAACTCACTATGTAGACCTGGCTGGCCTCTGCCTCTGCAAACTGGGATTAAAGGTGTGCACCACCATGCCTGGCACACAGCACCTTCTTAAAATTAGGGTGCTCTGGGCTAAAGAGGCCTATCAAGGTCTGGACCCTCTGAAGGACAGCAGCAGGTAGATTTCTCACTACAGTATAGGAGCCTTGCTACACAGATCTATTTCAGTCATCTTTAATGCAACAGGAAATGTGCTGGAGGCTGATGCCTATGTTAAGGAGTTCCACTGCTAAGCAGGCCTCAGACTTAACAGGTAAATTTAAGTGAACTGCCCTACTCCCTAGACCTCAGTTTACTCAGCCATTAAATGGCCCTGATGACTTTAAGGGTTTCTTGTGAGGATGATGTTGTTGGAGACTCGGATTCTTTTAGCACAGAAGTAATAGAACTGAGATTGAGGTATGTGTGCAGGGAAGGCAGGCAAGACTTTAATGGGGCCAAGGCTACTTACTGAGAGGAAGTGGGGCAATGGACAGACCAGGCTCCTCCTGGAATAAAAGGAGACTTAGGCCTGTACTGATTTGCTGGGATGAGTTAACAGGTGGTTATCATCTTGCTCAAGGGAGCTCAGGAGTACCAGGGTGCAATAAAAGCTTCAAGTTTTCAGGTGCTTAAAATTTTGTTTGAGGCAAGGTCTCATGTAGTCTAGGCTGGCCTCAAACCTTCCATGATTCTGGCCTTGAACTCTTAATCCTGTTGCCTCCATCTCCGGAGTGATGAGATAATAGGCATATACCACATGAAGGTGGGGGTAGAGGCTGCAGGACTCTAGGTGCTGAAGATACTGCAGCTGCTGAAAGATCTGGAGACAGAACATAGCTCCAGTGATCAGTCAACTTGTCTGTATGCAAGGCTGGAGAGAACTGTACCCAAAGGTAATGCTTAATTCAAGTCTATCAACCATGCACTTGCTCTACATTTATGGAAAGCTTCCTGGCACTGGGCAGACAAGGAAAAAGAACTGGCATAGCTAGGTTTTGTTAGTGGTGTAGGCTGAGTTTCACTTAAGTTGTGTGCCTGGGGAAGGTGTTGGACCGAGTCTGGTTATGATCTATGCATGTGCATGGGAGTTTGTGCAGGTTCTTGCTGTGTGTGTGTGTGTGTGTGTGTGTGTGTGTGTGTGTGTATGTATGCAGGCTCCCTATCCCTATGCTGTGTATATATGTTGGGGATGTTAGACTAGGTCTGCTATATTGTGTTTACGAAGCAGGATCTCAGTGTGTTATGTGTACAGTCAGGGGAGGTAGAGTCTGGCTAAATTGTATGTAGGGAAGTTTGGGTGGAATCTTGCTGTATTGTATGTATAATGTGTGCCTGTACCTCACATAGAGCTGGTAATACAAGCATAAACCAGCACACCCTATCTCAGGTTAGGAGTTTGAACTCAGGACTGGGACCACTGGGAAGCCAAAGGAGGTGTTAACCAGGTGGTGTTGAGGCTGACTTACTTTTGAGAAAAGCCTCTCCAGCCAGCACTGTGCTGGGTCCACTCCGAGTTGATCTCTGTTTTTTCCTAAGTGATCAGTTTGCAGATCAAGGAATGTGGGCCAGGATTACGCAGTCCTGGAGTCAGGTCTATGTGATTTGGAGGAAGCAACTAAACTTCTCTCTGAGATTCTTAAACTGCATAAAGTTACACTTTCATGGCTTCATTATGATGACCAAAAGCATGCAAAGTACCCAGGAAAAAGAAAAGTGTAAATAAAGTATTTCCATTCCCATATGTACTACAAAAGCGAGTCGTCTTTGTTCCATCACACTAACACTGTAAAGTACTATTGTTCCCCCTTGGCTGCTGGGCTTAGCTCCAGCCTTTTTTGCGCATGCGCCCATCATGGGCCCCCCAGGGTGCTGAGCAGTAAGCTGTAGACGCTGCCAGAGTCGACGCTGCCAGAGTCGCCTAGCAACCAGGTCGCCTGGCAACGGGAGAGCGCCTTCGGCTGGCAGGCTCTAGGAAACTTCAGGCTCTAAGACAGTTGAGGCAGTTGCAGCAGGTAGGGGCCTGGGCACAGGGGGAGGGGGTGCAGCGTCCTGAGCTACCCAGTCCCATTACACAGGGCCCATGCCCTACCCAAGGTAATGAATTTTCTTTGGTGGCAGCATGTGCCCTTTACAAGAGGCCAGCTCCTTGTCCCAGAGCCTATGAGTCCCTGGAGTGAATCTCATATCATATATGGCGGTGACTTTTCCAACCTGGCTCCACACTCCTCCCCTTGTCCTTTGGTGGCTAGTAGCAGTCTGACTCATCTTTTACTACAGAAATGAGTTCCTGCCCCTACCACTAAATGTCATAGCCACAACCAACATTTCAATTTCTGGTCAGCCAGGCTCCTGGGTACCAGTTATATGATAATACTGGGAGAGCAGGAAGGAAGTATTCTCATTACCTAATATTCAGCTGCAGGGAGACTTGGATGGATGAAGGGGGGTAACTTGTTAAGGGCCTGGATTTGTATCCCTTTCATAATTCTAAAGCCACATGGCTTATAGTTGCTCAAAGTGTGTGTGTGTGTGTGTGTGTGTGTGTGTATGAAAGAGAGAGAGAGAGAGAGAGAGAGAGAGAGAGAGAGAATAACTCATCCTTCAATCCACCAATTCTTTCTTGAGAATGTGTCCTATGCATGGGTCTCTAACAGTGAGCTAGACCTCATTCCCGAAGGATAACTTCTGGCTTCACCAACTCCTTGCCCCAAATCTATTCCCTTAATTGTAAATGTGCATGATAAAAGTCTTTTATTTATTGGGTGGTTGATTAGATACTAGTTAATTGCTGTCACTGGATAAGCGCAGACATCAAATGGAGAGCCTGTCTTGGCTTTTGCTTGGTGGGCCTGTTTTGTTTTGTTTACCTTTTGGTGCCTGTGACTGAGGACCTCATCTAAGAACTGTTATGCTGGAGAACCCCAAAGTTTGCAGTATGAGCTGCTACTTACTTGTGTCCTTGAGAAATCTCTTCATTGCACTTAGCCTCGGTTTGCTCTTCTGTAAATTGGAAGAAAAATATCCCCCTTGCTTGCTCTCACAGGCAGTTTTGAGGATAAGTAGCTTCTAAATGACAATATTAACATTTTTTATTCTTTTATCAGTGGTCTCTGCAGAGCTTCATTTTGAAAGCCCTTTGTAGGTGTGGAAAGATGGCTCATACCCGGATCTCCATGTACATGCCTCCTGTCATCGACCCCACACAGGCTGCCATTTCCTATGGCTGTTGGGCCTTGCCCAAGCTGAATGAGGAACTGCAGTCAGAGGATCTGCTGACAAGGCAGAAAGCCCTTATGGCGCTGTGTGACCTCATGCATGACCCTGAGTATGTCTACCAGGCCATCAGCATAGGTAAGAGTGCCACAGCCTAGGTGATCATGACTGGGGTTCTGGTGTGGCTCAGACATTGCCCACAGTTTCAGTAGTAAGAGTTGCTATTTATTGGGCCTGATTTCAGGACATCAGTACCCCAAGGGCAGTGCTACCTACAACCTATAGATAAAAAAAAAAACAAACAAAAACAACAAACAAACAAAAAAAACAAGGTTCAGGAGTGGGTATGAGTTTAAGGTTACCTAATCAATAAATTAGGCAGGATCTTTATTTGCTAAATCTGGCATTCCTGAATATAACCAATTCAAGGCTATGTGACCAGTTTGTGGCAGGTTTCTTTTTTATATTTTCATTATGTGTAGGTATGTGCATCTGTGTGTGGGTATGGGCATGTGAGTACAGGTGCCCTTGGAAGTTAGAAGAGGGAGTCTGAGCCCCTGGTACTGGGGTTATATGCAGTTGTGAGCTGCCTGACAGGAGTGTTGGAAACCAAACTCAGGTCCTTTGCAAGAGTAGTATGTGTGTGGCAGGTTTCTAATTTGACCTCATGTCTCTCCTGAGATCAACACAATTGCAAAGGCAATTTTCTTAGCCCCATGGCAGACTCGGAGTGGAAGGAGAATTATGAGGGTTGGATGAGATGGCTCTAGGGTTTGAGCCTTTCTGTGACTCACAAATGCTGTGTAACAGTGTGTGACTTGATTCCCCAGACCCAAAAGCACACAACCTCTGGTACTTTCTTGTTGTCTAATATTGGATCAGGTGTTGACTTCTGGATTAGTTGACTACTAGGATTGGCAAATGTTCAGAGGTTTTCCTATCTCCACAGGCTGCCTGGAGAGTCTGAAGGCTCTGTTGAAGGACAGTGATAACCTGGTACGGATAAAGACCACGGAGGTACTCTACATCATGGCAACCCATAATGTGGGCAGGTGGGTAACTGCTAATGAAAATCAATGTCATGGAAGTTGTACTTTCCCCCTGGGTAGATGTCCTTGAGTGACCTTGAGTGCTCTGAACCTTTGTTTATTGGTTTTTGTTTTTAGTAATTTTCTTCTGTGGGGCCCTAACAGGACTCCAGCCCCCACTTTTTCCTTTTCTTTCAGTGCTTGGGATTAAACCCAGAGCCCCATGCATGCTATGCAGGTGATCTATATCTGAGCTGTACTCTACCCATTTCAGATTAAATCTTATGCTAGTTCTTGGCTCTGGGCTTCCCATTTTGAAGGCAGAAAGTTCAGATCCAACATCTGAAAAAGTTTTGCCATTTAAGATGATATTTTGTTTATTATTTTTATTTTATTTGTAAATTTTATGTGTATGAGTGTTTTGCATCTATGTATTTAATTGCACAACTTGTATGACATGCAGAGGTCAGGAAAGGGTGTTGGATCCTCTGGAACTGGAGTTAGATAGGGTTGGTTGTTAGCTATCATGTGGGTGTTGGGACTTGAACCTGGGTCCTCTGGAAGAACAGAAAGTGTTTTTGACTGCTGAGCCATCTTTCCAGCCCAAGTTTTGCTGTTTTTTATCTTCTTATGGGTAGCCAAGTTCCCTGTCTTAGATCTTCATGGGGGAGTATGGTTTTATTATCTGTTGTTAACACACATCTTGTCTAGGCTGGTGGCCTCACCTTTTGCTCAGGATGCTGTGTTCTTGGTTTGTAGCACCTGGCAATATCCCTTTCCTGTGTAAAATTTAGTATTTTATACTTAAAACGTATTTCAACTAGCGTTTTGGTTAGAGATTGGGGTGGCAGTTTGGGCAGGTGCCTTCCCATGACTGAGCTCACTTTTTTGACTAGGGAATACTAGTTTTACTTGGTATCAAAAGCAGAACCCTAGGTAGGGACAATTCAGTGATAGAGCACTAGCATAAGGCCCTGAGTTCCATCACTAGTACTGAAAACAAAACAAAACAAAAAAACCCCATAACTCCAGCCACACCCATGTGCCTTCTCCCCCATCTCCTGTATAAAGGAGACCACTGCCCACTATGCTGATGCCCAGAAAAAAGAAGGGGCAAGGAGCTGACTTGCCTCCAGCTTATTTGATGTAAATCATTGGCATCCAGAAAGGCTCACATCATGCCAAACATGCCTCTGCGGTGTGTCAGAAAATCCAACTGGGCCTTGATGCTATCCACACTCAAGACTCTCAGTCCCCTCCTTATACCGCTTCAACGTGATGCTGCATGCAGCCCCACTCTGATTAGGTGCTGTGAATGGGGCATGTGTAGGAGGTATACAGTGCCATTTAGTGCCCTAACTCACATAGTATTCACCAGGAGGGTAGATCATTCATTGCTGTGGTGAAGTGGGCACATGAGCAGTGAAGTGGGGACATGGGCCCTGGCCTACTGGTGGTAGTGGGCATCCTTTACTGCTCTGTAACTTAGCCAAACCTTTTAAGTTCCACTTTGTGTAAGATAACCTCAGGAAGGTAGTTTGAAACCTTAGGCAGTCTGGATATAGTAGTGAATGCCCATAGTCCCAGCTACTCAGGACGCTGAGGGAGGAGGATCACTTGAGTCCAGGAGTTTGGGATCAGCCTGAGAAACATAGCAAGACTCTGTCTGAAATAAAACAAAGCAAAATAAATCAAATCAAATCAAAGCAAAGCAAAGCAAAACTAGACAAACAACCCCAGCTAACCAATCAACCAACCAGCCAACCAACACCATGACCTTAGGAGTCAAGAGATTCTCTAAATCTCCCCTTCCCACTTTTCTACATGATGTGGACATCACCCCAATGAGGAGTGATGGGCACTGAGAAGAGAGATGCTCAAAGCTTGGGCAATTGTAAACAAACTAAGCACCTAAGGGGGGTGTTACGGTTTAAATATAAAATGTCCCTTCCAGGCTTAGGTGTTTGAACACTTGGTCCCCTGCTGATGACACTGTTCTAGAAAGTTGTGGAACATTTTGGACATGGGGCCTAGCTGTCAGATACAGAGTTATACGGTGGGTCCCCCTCCAAAGCATCACCAGATGGAGACCAAGTGTCCAAATACATGAGCTTAGAGAGGGTATTTTTCATTCAAACCACCACAACAACCTAGGTTTGGCATCTTGGCACTTTGAACAGTTAATTCACACAACATTCCGATGTACATCAAAGCTTCCTAAGCAATCTAGTCCTTGCCTTCTTGCTGGCCTCCTAGTGAAGGGGCCACATTCTCTATGGGCAAACACAGCCAACTTTCTTATTTTTACTTTGCTCTCTAGGTGTTTTTATTTTTAAAAATTTTATTAGTAAAGAATATTCATTGTACAAAGCAATGGATTTCCAAGCCTGTATATCATGTACTTTGTTTATATTCTCCTCTTCTGTTACCCTGTCTTGTTTCTCCATCCTTCCTTCCACTGGTCTTCCTCCTCTTCCCAAATGGCCTGTTTTTTTTTTTTTTTTTCAAATCATATTATTTTTGGTGCTGGAGATTGGATCCAGGGATTCAGGCATACTAATCACATGCTTTACCACTGAGCACCATCCTCAGCCTTCCTCTATCCATCCCTCCCTCCTCTCCTCTTTCCCTTCCTCCCTCCTTCTTTCCATCTTTCAGGGTTTCCCAGGCTTACCCTGAACTTCTGTGTACAAATAATCCTCTTGCCTTAGTCTTCTAACTTCCTAAAACTGAGGAGCAGACCAGCCAGTTTTCAAAGTATGTCTGATGTGGAGTGGGTCACAGGGAGACAACCTAGAAAACCAGCAGCTCTGGAATTTATGTGTCCCACCGTGATCCTCTTTTTCCAGAACAGTGCAGAGCAGACTCTGAGACTAAGTTCTAATCAGTGTCACAGCGCCGTGATTGGCTCGGCATGTTCTCTTGCTGGGCACTCAGCTAAGCCCTTCACACCGGACTTCTCACTTAGTCTTGAGCATGCCTGGAGAGATGTGACCCTAGAAGATCCTTTTCCAGATGCAACTGGACCCAGTAATCTGTTGGTTACTTAAAAGAAATGGTTCAAAATCAAGGAATTAAAGAAACAATGTATTTCCTTTAAATTGTTCGTTGAATTCGAAACATAAATGATAAGGTATTTGCCGATCCCTGTGTAAGACCTGGGCCTTTTCCAGGACATGGGTCCATCAGATGATGTTTCCCATCAACTTTCTTGCTTAGACCAGGAGTCTGCTTTGCAGTGTAGGTTTCCTGAAAGCAGAGGAAGACAGAAAGACAGACTGAAATGCAAGCAAAACCCCTTCTAGCATCCTTAAAATCATCTCACCTTTTTTTGTTTTTTTTTTTTAAGTCAGGGTCTCTCTGTAGCCCCATCTTGTCCTGGAGTCACTATGTAGACCAGGCTGGCTTTGAACTCACAGAGATCCACTTGCCTCTGCCTCCCCGAGTGCTGGGATTAAAGGTGTGTGCCACCACACCTGGCCTTCATCTTGCTTTTTAAAGAGACTTTGAGTTTTTAAAAAAGCATTCAGTATTTTTTCCCAAAGAAATTAAAAACAACTCTTTATCTAATTGCCTTACCTAATATTTAATTAACTTATTAATATTATGTGTAATTATAACAAGCATAAAAGGCAGCCATGCATCTAGAGGGAAGCAGCTGGCTGCTGGTACGCTCACAATTCAGTTGGGAGAAGACAAGAGAAGTGAGAAGGGACTGGGAGGGGCTGAGAGATGCTGGGCCTATGAGCTGTCTCCCTGGGAGCCATAGAAAGATGGTGGGCTCAGCAAGGTGGGTTACAGGTTTCTACTGCCTTATACCCATTTCACTGATCATGAAACTGAGGCTTAGAAGGGTGAAAAGAATCTAAGGTACAAAGAATCCAAGCCAGAGACACAGCAGAGGTGTGTGATTTCTGTTACTCCATGTGCCACACTGCTCTGTTTTCATGACCCCTGGGAATTGTGGGAGCCCTCTCTGGCCTTTGCCCTAGCTAGCATTGACTCCAATAGGACCACTGACCTGTCTTATTTCATCCTCTCTAGAAATGGTCTTCGTAGGTTTAAACTTGCCTTCCCTTTTTCTAGAACAGGCTTTTTAGAGCATGGCATCATCCTCGCCCTGTCCCTCCTGCTGAGTGATCACCAGAGAGAATGCCGGGAGAACCTGCATCAGGCATACAAGCACCTGGTCCAGTTGCCTGCAGGTAGGCTGCTCCCCATAGGGGGATCTGGTGTACCTTTGGTCACCTTTGGGCTTCCCTTCCAGGTCATTTTGCACTAGGCTGCAGATCACAGGCTCTAGCATTTTGTTTTTCTTTCTTTCTTTCCCTCTTTCTTTCTTTC